GAATTAATTTAATAAGAATGATTTATACAACAAAATTTCAAAAAAATATTACTTGGCTGTTAGTACAAAAAAATTACTCCATATATGACTAATCGGAATAACAACCTTATTTACAATTGATCTGACTTAGAGAAGAAAAATGTCTTCTTCTCTAAGTCAGATCAATAACATCTCTAAGTACAATAACCCTTAAATAGTAAAATAAAACTTTTTTTTCAACGATTTTAGGAACATCTTATGGTTGGTCTTATAATTACTTCGTTCGTGAATGACAGAACCTTATTATTTCTTAGCACAAAAATGTATATTAGTACATTAATATATTAGTATGCATTAATATTAGAAACAAATTAAAGCCGGTTAACTACATATATTATAGCTTGTAGTAGTCTGATTTCAATGAAATCAAGTGGAAATAGGCCTGTGACTTTGTAGATTATGTCCATAAATTTTATTAAAATTATATTCATAATTATGACTTTTGAACATTTTGGATAAATGGACATTGCACTTTGGGCCAGAGAGTGGTGCAGTAATTATGTCAATAAATTTTATTAAAATTATATTCATAATTATAACTTTTGAAAATTTTGGATAAATGGACATTGCACTTTGGGCCAGAGAGTGATGCAGTAATAAGAAGAAATTAATTATGTATCTTTAGCGTTATAAATATTAAGATTTGAAAAAATCGTTGCAATGAACAAATAATGCACTATAGCTCGAAAACAGCTAATGATATGCAAAAATAATATGTCAATAAAATATAGGATTTTTAATTTTCTATTGAAATTATAAGAGCATTTAATTACGACGCATAATAAACGAGATATTCATAAAACGGATTTTTGTGACCTTTGACCTCCAACATCTCGCAAAGCGAAAAAAAAGGCCACTCTAGAACATAAAATTTCTTCCTAGCCTGAAAAATAAACATTACAAGAAATGTAGGAAATCTGGTCTACCTACTGATTACTCGTATTCAATATCTAATACAGGTTACAACAGATGACTAGGTACATCCTTCTTTCAAACTAACTAACTAACTAATAACTTAATAACAAACCAAAATGATAATTTTCTAATAAACAATGAAACTGAAAAAATATTTTGTTTGTTTTTAAAAAAAAAAAAACTTAAAAAATCGAAGAATAAAATAAAAAAAAAATTTGGCAAAAAAATGAACAATCTGGGGAATTTCACATAGCTAAATAAAAATTGGCACATATCTTCCCCTTAGAATAATTAGTAAGGAATTTAAAGTCACCGAAATTATCTTGTGCGCTATGCGAGATATTGGAGGTCAAAGGTTACAAAAATCAGTTTTTGGTGAATATCTTGCTTAATATGCGTCGTACGTATTTTAATGTTATCATAATTTCTATAGAGAATTGAAATTCATGCATTTGGGTTGAAAAATATTTTTGCGTATCATTAGTTGTTTTCGAGCTATAGTGCATTGTTTTCCATTGCACTAATATTTTCAAATCTTAATAAAAATTGTACTAATAACAAATTTGTCATAATTTTTACGTTTTTGATAAGCAGTTAATATATGCTTATACATTGTTATACTTTATATCTCAAACTCGCTTTATGACCCATAGTGCAATGCAATTGGTGGTCACAATCCACATAATTGGGGTAATATTCCCACCAAATTTTATTAAAATCATACTTTATCTTTAAATATTTTGTAAAAAATTTTTGAATTTTCAAATTAAAGTAGGTTGTCTATATTAGACAATTAAATCGATTAAATTGGTGGACATATATTCCTGGAATATATTTCAAATTATATTCATAATTGTGACCTGTGACCCCATCGGAAATTTCGGATAGACGGACATCACACTATGGAGCAGAGAGTGATGCTGTGATAAAGGATGTAACAGAAATTAATTATGTACTTTTAGCTAATATTAGAAAGAAAAAATGGGACATTATCTGTATTGGAGTTAAAAATATTAAGATTTGAAAATGTCATTGCATGAAAAATGAATGCACTATAACCACGGTGACCAGACGTTCTGTATTATACAAATAGTATTGTATTTTAGAGCCCTGTTCTGTATCAATTATTTTTTGCTAAACAACGTGAAAATGTTCTGTATTTTATTTAGTGTTCTGTATTTCGTTATTTTTTCAGTTTTACATAAAAACGCATAAAGCTGGAGGTCCACACTACGCGATTTCGCGGCAAAGCATTTCGTGCTTTTCATGCCTTTATTTTGCCGGTTAACACAGGCAAACTTTTGATTTTGTGTGTGAGAAAAAGAGAACGAAATATCAACCATCTCATTCTCCCAAACACAAAATTAAAAGTTTCCTTGTGTAAACCGCCACTTTGCATCATACGCATCAAGTTACATGCTACGCTTCTTAAGCGTCAATTTTTTGCTTTATTTACAAAGAACTTCCCGTTTTTTATTTATATTCTCAAAATTTAACTCGTTTTAGTGTATTAAAATTGATAAATACACATTAAAAATAGATATAATTGTCAAAATCAGCTGATATGTTCGTACGCCGCTTATGAGGCTTACAAAAGTAGAAAGTAGATCTATTGGAGTTAAAAATATTAAGATTTGAAAATGTCATTGCATGAAAAATGAATGCACTATAACCACGGTGACCAGACGTTCTGTATTATACAAATAGTATTGTATTTTAGAGCCCTGTTCTGTATAAATTATTTTTTGCTAAACAACGTGAAAATGTTCTGTATTTTATTTAGTGTTCTGTATTTCGTTATTTTTTCAGTTTTACATAAAAACGCATAAAGCTGGAGGTCCACACACTACGCGATTTCGCGGCAAAGCATTTCGTGCTTTTCATGCCTTTATTTTGCCGGTTAACACAGGCAAACTTTTGATTTTGTGTGTGAGAAAAAGAGAACGAAATATCAACCATCTCATTCTCCCAAACACAAAATTAAAAGTTTCCTTGTGTAAACCGCCACTTTGCATCATACGCATCAAGTTACATGCTACGCTTCTTAAGCGTCAATTTTTTGCTTTATTTACAAAGAACTTCCCGTTTTTAAAGTTTTTTATTTATATTCTCAAAATTTAACTCGTTTTAGTGTATTAAAATTGATAAATACACATTAAAAATAGATATAATTGTCAAAATCAGCTGATATGTTCGTACGCCGCTTATGAGGCTTACAAAAGTAGAAAGTAGATCTACTTTAAACATTCTACGCGTCAACCCTTTTATACTTGTAACTTGTAGCACACAACAACATTGATTCCAGGGTGCACTTATAAGGTGAAGTCAATTCTACAAAAACAACAGAAGTAGATACTTCTGTCAAAAAATTTACATGTTGCCACCGTGTTTTTTTAATTTACCTTACAAAAAGATAATCTCACATACCCAAAAATCTCTTCACGTAAAGTAAATATGTATTATAAGATAAAATTTATTAAAAATTATACACGAATTGAAAAATAGAATATTATTTATTATTTACTTATTAAAAAAGTAAATAAATTATCAATTAAAATAACAAAAAATTAGTATTAGATTACAAAATTGTAAGTATGTGGTAGCAGAAATACAAATTATATACATATTATTTTTTATCAGTCAATATTGGGAACTTATAATACCGTGTAGGTCTCTACCATTGTCGTATAAGAAATATATAATGATCTTTATAGAAATGTGACCAAACCACTACCATGGAAAGTTGTTAAAAATTATGATATCTATGATAAAATCAAGTTTTAATAATTTTATTTACAATTGTGGGATGTTTGTACTCTCAATTGATTAGTAAAAAGTTCCCTATAACTGATAAAATAGATGCATATTTAAGACAAATAGTTTGTGCAATTTTTGAGTATTTCGCATAAATTTACTACGGATTAAAATGAATAAAAAATTAATTTATTATTTTTTTGTCCTAAAAATATAATGAATCCCTAGATAGATGTACAAATTTTTTTCGGATTGTGGCAACTCTAAATGGTGTACTTTGACAGTTGTATCTACCTCAAATAAAAAAATGAGTGATCAGCTGTTGAATTGACTTCACCTTATGAGTGTACCCTGATTGATTCTGTTGTGTGTTGGGACCTCCAGCACAAAGTATACAGAGGTGTCACCTTTGACGATTAAAAAGTCTACAATAAGATGTTGTTTAGCTAAAAAAAGTGTGAAACTTGTGTTGAAAGAGATAGAAATAGTTTTTTGCTCGTGACGCCTCTGTATACCCTGTGCCTCCAGCTTAAGAAATACAAAAATATTTAAAAAATCTGACACAAATGTAGGTAATACAGTTTTTTCAGCTGTAAAGTATTTGCTTTTTTTGTGTACTTTATTACCCAGCAAAAAAGGAACTTCCAAAGAGGCGAAAAAGAAGTAGAATTTACTCCATAGAAGAACTGAAAAAGACCTGAAGAAGTGATGATTTAAACACAGGCTTGTCATGGGAGGGATGTCCTTTTATTTGATTCCAAATTCACTACTTCTGAAGAAGTAATTTTTATGCTATTTTTTGGAAGTTATACGGAAGTGGAATTGTAGTATTATAGAATACAACTAATTTGACTTAAATAATATAATTAATAAGGGTAATATACACATTTAATACAAAAGCCCAAAAATAACATTTATTATCTACTCAACCAAAATGTAGGAAATTCAATTCTCTATAAAAATTATTATAACATAAAAACGCGTACAACGCAAAATGAGCGAGATATTCGCTAAAAACTGATTTTTATAACCTTTGACCCCAAATATCTCGCTTAGCGCACACGATATTTTCGGTGACTTTTAATCCCTTACTTATTATGCTAAGGAGATGCATAAGCATAGCTATCTAAAATTCCGCAGCAAAACCCTTATTTTCCTGGGCTATCAGTTAAAATTTTACCAATCTCGGTATTATGGGATTGAAGAAAGAAATTCTGAAGATACCATAGTTGTAATACAATATGAAAGTTTTGATTGATCTAAAATATGTCATTAATTAAAAATTTACATACACTGTTTAATAGTCCTTCCAGCCATGATGTCCCGGTGTCGTGTGCCGTGTTAACAACATCGATAATTTGATTGATTTTTCGCAGGATGCCATGCTGTAAAGAAGTTTATTTTAATTAATAAACATCACAAGATTATATATTTATATAAGCATCTCAGCAAAATGTTCTTGAATTTCGGTAATGGGTGTTATTTCCTAGGTTAGAAAGTCTCATTATTAAAAAAAATAATTAGTTGATTGTAATGATTTGAGTATATTGTTTTGGAAAATATTCTAATAAATCTATTTTATTACATAAAATATATCATATTTACTCGAATATAAGTTTTTGTCCTTAAAAGATATCGTGAACCTGTTCTTAGCTACGATAAAAAAAAAAAATTGTTTACACGGTAGTTTCAAAACTCCATTTTCAGTTTTTTAAAATCTATGTTAAACAAATTTTGGGTTAAGGGAGTGAAGGTTGTCAATCGCGGAAACAAGAACTCCTTGGAGTTCTTAAAATCGGCAATTGGCAAAAGTAGCGACATTAACCCTGCAGCAAAGCTTGAGGTGATACAGCCTTCCGAATTGCCACTACGGTCAGTAGTAACAGTGAGAGACCCGTGAGAACGGTGCAAACCATAGTAGACCAATGGAGACATGTGAACTCACTGGTGTGTAAAGAGAATACTGGCAAGAACTTTCGATTCGCAGTGGATCGTAAGTCCTTAGATGTCCTAGATGAGATGGGAGGGATTGCTAGATTTGGTCTTGTCACTGTCAGGTTCCGGTACCCAAAACTGACAGAACCAAAGAGGTTGCTAGTGGTGATTCACAGATGGACGTGGCCCTTATCCAGAAACCTTGAATTAACAACAATAAGGTTCTTGGCTTAAGGGTCAAAGGTTACACCTTATTTGTCCCGTCTTCTGAGGACAAGGTAAGCACGTGTATCCTGGCAAAGAATGAATTGGATTTTCTCATTCTTTCAAGAGCGGTGATATAACCGTAGGATAAGCCAGAGGTAAGCTGGCTTCATCTGCAACAAGCACAGACAAAATTTATACATAACTGGAATGAATTTTGTAATAAATTGTATGAATCGAACATGCATTTTTTCCCAAACCATTTTCATTCAAATTATTAAAAGTTCATAGAATTTATTAATTTGTACATGACGGAATTTTTTTGAATTTTTACTTTTTTCTGCAATATTCATGAAAAAATTGCTAACAAAGTCTAATATATACTAATCCGTTTCCATATTTAGTAGATAGTAATCCTTTATTAATTTTGTATAATAAAAAAATATAAATTGAAATGCTGAAAACAATATCTTAAACAAGAAAACATCAGCAAATATAGTAAAATATCTATTCTTCATAAAATCCCGCCAATTACAATTTTAATCTAAAAATCATAAAGAAATACAAAATTTTTCTAAGAAAATTTCAACCATTTTTTAATAAATGGAAAATAAAAATATATATTTCAAATCAGGTTTTAATATTTAGTTTTTAGTTTTATTTTCTAAATTGCCGACTAAACTGAAAAATGTTCAAGTATTTACTTTTCCCTTAAGGCTAAGGTAGTCTCTACGTTCCGTAACGTTTCCGTTCTGTAACGTTCCGTTGACTGTTTATGTGTAGTTAGTTTCTATGTATGAACGTAGCAGCTGTTTTTGAGAATAACAGCAAAAAAAGCAACTCTGATTTGTTGTGTCAAAAACCAGAGTTGATTTTCTTTCTTTGGTAGAGTTGCTTTTTTTCCATATATTTACAATTTTACATAGATTTAGCGCTTAAATTGAAGACATTTGTAATTTTCTGTTCTCTGCAATTAAATAAATAAAAATGAAACAGATTTATTAATCAATTGTATTATAGACTTTTATGATACTTACCAGGAATTCCCATTTCCTTAGAAATTTTTGTCCACACGATCTTTTTTTCCGGCAATCTATATTCCTTGTTAAATTTATTATACAAAATATCATTTTGTTCAACTTAAAAAATTTATTTCTCGTCATCGATTTAAAAAAAAACGATCTACAAACTTCTTGACCAATGATTATCAGTGGACACATTTATAACGAATTTTAATAATTAAATTAATTATAAAAAATAAAAACACGAAACTCGAAACACGATTTTTTTAATTTCTTTCTTGGACTTTTCTTTTTTCTTATGGCGTTTATGTTGAAACTAATGTCAACTCTTATATTTTCTTTGACATATTTCAAATATTTACTATTTTATTATTATTATTAATTTTATTGTTTAATTATTAAGTATTTCAATTAATAGTAATAAATAAAATTTTTCGGATGTACATTATTATTTTTAAAACATTAACATCACTGTTTTTTTTTCTTCTTGTTTACATTTTTTGTATTTTATGTCAGCTGTTTGTAGCTGTCACTTAACGTTGCGGATTAAAATCTATTTTCTACAGGTTCATCCGCAACGTAAATTAAACGTTACGGCAAAACTAACCACTTACACAGGTTTTCGTAAGCCAAAAAGGAATCAGCTGATTCATCACGGAATGGAACGTAGAGACTAACACAGCCTTTAGAAGCTAACTGAAATCTGTCAACTGTGCGCACACGATGCTGCAATAACTAGCAAGTGATTTTGTTTTTCTTCAGCAGCCACACAAACAAGCAGCGGCCATGTTAAGTTTTTTCAACTCAACCGAACTGAACAACCGAATCAACCGAACTGAGTAAGCTGCTTGCGTATTGTTTAGTTCTTGGTTTCGTTTTCTTGCTATCCACGTAATAAAAACTGGATAGTAGCGTAATTTGACTGGATAGTATGGATGAAAAGACTTGATGAGTTGTTTGATTTGTAAGATTTTGTTGTTGTGTGCGCTTTTTGTTAAACTTAGTAGAATGGAGTGTTTTGGTGTTTACATTTTACAATGATAAATGGAAATCATATCGCTAATTAAAATAAATTATGTATAATCCCAATATCCTAATATAAATATATTATAAATCTCTTTGTAAGTCGTCTTCAAATTTGAAATAAATACTTGGAGATTGTTATAGGCTATATTTTTTTTCAAACTTGGACTAGGAGGGGACAACAAGGGGGTAAAATGGGTAAAAACGGCAAAAATTAATACTTTTGAGAGAAAATACTGATTTTATCTATACTTTAGCAAAATCATTTTTGATTAAACTTTTTAATTTGTCAGAAATATGTATGTACTAGCAAAGTGTCGTTGGGAATGTTGGACCAGGAGGGTACAAAAAATAGGCCAAATGGTCGGTCTGCTTTAAGACCGATTTTTTCTATTATGAAATCAAAATATTATAGACTATGATTTTTATAATCTCAGAAATATGTATATTTCGAAAGCCCACCATTAGGGGGAAAAACGGTAAAAAAGGAAATTTGTAAACACTCAAAAAATGCATATCTTCAGACAATTCAAACTACTTTAATGTATTCTTTTAAACATTTTTTGTACTTTTAAAACAATGCTATCTTTTTTAATCACACTTAAACAGGTGGAAGAATTTTCCTTAAATTTCGAACATAGTTATATATTGATTAGTATATTGATTAGTATTAAAAGGGGAGAAGAAGGGGTATGTGGATGAAAAATGGGCAAAGTTAGTACTTTTGAGCGTAAATACTAATTATTATCTATAGCAAAAAAGCAATTAAGCTTTTTAAAACGGGTAATTATGTCTTCCTCTGGTACATTTTTTGCACTTTTAAGAAATTTAAGAAAAACATCGTCACCTAAAACGCAGACGGCCCTATCTAACATTTTAAAAATTTTACAGGAGAAGCAAAAAAATATTTAAATTGAAAAATTTGTTTCTATCAACGCGATTTCTTGTTATTCAATAAACAAATTGTTTAATAGTGAAACCTATCATTTGTTATGGTAGTTGACAAGTTATGGACAATAGATGAGGGAATAAAACGGTAATAAAATTAGATCTATAATTCTTACAATTTAGCTGTACCTGCGATTTGAACTCGACGTATTTCGAAAAAATCGCATTTTTTTGTAATATTTTAGTGAATACGTATTAATTCTTTACTGTTTTACATCCTAGCAAAAAAAGACGTGCAAAAAAAGTAGTAAATGCATGGGTTGTACTGATATTGAACTGGTTCATATTTAGGGGAAACATGCATGATTTTAACATTAGCGTGTCATTGGCATGCATGGGTTCGTATTTGCAAAAATAGTTCGTCATTTAAATGAGTTCTTATAAACAATGAATATTCGATGATTCTCAAGCGAATTTTCATTGGTGCACTATATTTATTTAAAAATGCATTAATGGTATTTCGATTTAATTATCAATATTTAAATAATTTTTTTGCGTGATATTGATAAAAATAGAATAAGATAAAACATAACTAACTGATTTTGATTGGATTTAAATTCATGCAGAGGAAAAATACCCATTGTGTTTTAAAATCCGTTAAGCAGTCTTGGTTTTTTCCTTCTCTTATTAATGGACTTAATATTACTAATTTTAACAAAAATCTAATAAAAAATTAATGTCATTTTTAATCTTTATTGTATGAAATGCACGTTTTCGTTAAATCTCCTAAGAGAATACCAAATTACAGTAAAATATTACAATTCCTATAGTGGAGTTACATGAGTGAATTTGGGTTCATTTTTCATGCCTTCACTGATGACAATTTTTTTAGAATTTAGGCATGTATTAAAAACGCATTAAATAGAATACTTACTAAAGAAATCATGAAAATATCCCTTCTTCTTTAACAACTTCAAAATTTTTTTGCTGGGATTTTAAATAAAGTATTTTCGGAGTATTATAGTTCAGATAATATAAAATATATTTCCGAAGTTTTACATATTGGACTTTTTTAACCCATAAATTGTGGAGTTCAAAAGTCATTTCCTCAGCTCCTACCGTTATCTCTAAAATATCGCTACCAAATTAACGTTATTTTATATTATTTTTAAATAATTTTTCGTATATTTAAAATGCCCTTTTATCTCACTACCATTACCGCTAAAATAACGTTACCGAAATAATCCAAATACCGTTACCCTTATCTTCACTGCTTCAAAACTATTGCCAACCCTGATTTTATATATACATAT